TCTTCCTTCACATCAGTCTAAATCTCATGTTCTTAGCCACTAATAATCCAAACCAGCTCACCTTTCTTTGGTTCATTCCTTCGTTTCTTTCCCCCGGCATCATTTATCGCTCATGGCATAATTTCTGCATGATGGTTTTGCAGACCATGCAGTTTGTAAGTTTTTTTCTATTTAATTAAATACTTTGTGAGACCTTCCTGCCTCCATCTGCATGTCTGCATATGGGTCCATCCAAGCTCAACACTTCCTGACCCATCAGTGAGTTTATGACCTTATATCAGCTTAACTTCTCTGTTTTCTATCTAATATTTGATGCAGTCATTTTTATTAATTGATTTTTCATATTAAAAGGAACATTTTTTATTTTATTTATACTAAACAATCATCATTTCTCTTCTGCTTTCAGTGAAGAGTTAAGACAAGTAGTGAGGAAGAGTTTTGTGTGCAGCTGCTGCCACCCAGTGGAAGAAAAGTGCAATAAGTTTTATTTTCCAAAGCAGTCAGTCAGCAGTTCATGGCGTTGATGGTGGAACAGAGGAAATAATGGCTTGTTTGAGTAAGAAAAATGTCTTTTCAACACGATGAACGTATAAAACAATCTTTAAAGAGTTATTCTTCGTAAACACTTGGATAGGATAAAGATACACATGTTTGGGGCGTAGATATTGAACCACTCAGTGGGATTTCTCTGAAGTGTTGAACAAAGGGAACACTCTACAGTATCTATTTCTGCATGTGAAGAACAGTGATTATATCGCTGCGAGTAGAAAACCAACCTTGAAGTGAAACTGAATAAAAAAGCAAAAAATGGCTCCATAAGAAATCTAAAAAATTCAACCAGTGAAACAGCAAAGTTATGACTTTGTTCTAGTTCTTATGTTGTGTTATTAAAAGTAGAGACATCAGCAACGTGTGATGAACCAACATGAAGCTGAACCTTAGAACTTGGAGAGAAAAGGATGCATGTTCTTAAAAGGTTCTGGATTAAGTATAGTTTGACAAAGTTCTCCTAACAGTTGCCTTTTGTATCTATGCTTCTTTTTCTATGTCTGCTTCTGTCTCCTTGAACCCCAGTGGGCCTCAGCAGATGGCCGCTCACACTGAG